TTTACATTTAAAGTCATAATGAATTGATACAGTGTTCGAATATTTATAAAGAACGTAAAAATTCACTCATTTTGGACATAAGTCAATCAACACGCTAAATAAATTAACTTTTATAAAAACAGCTAAACTTGTTACAAACATAATCATCATTATGACACGCGCTATTGAGCAATTATCGTCTAGTTTGTATTTTCACACGTCTGAAGGGAACAGACGAAAGAAAACTGTAAGTCGAGATAAACAAAGGATTAAAGTGAGAAAATAACTGTTGGGGCTGAAATTTTACATCGAGATATTGAAAATATCGAAATAAAAATATCGAGATAAACAAATATTTCCAATATAGATAAAGAAGGAAGAAAATCGGGACTTTCAAAATTTCATCGAGATAACGAAATATCGAGAAAAGCGATGTCGAGATAACGATAGTTGACTGTATATATATAGTAAAAACTTAAAAATCTTTTTCTCTGAATTGACAAAGACTAGCGATTAGATAATTGGCATAAAACATTGTGTAGTGGACCTCTACCAAGATTGTTCAAATTATAGCACTTGGGTCAAAATTGGCCTGGCCCCGGGGTCATTGATTTTCATTATGTACATAATGATAGTAAAAACTTTTAAAAAATCTGTCTGAAGGTACAAGGCTTTGATAGTTGGTATATAATATTATCTATAGGTCCTCTTCTATAATTGTTCAAATTTTGCCCTTAGTATCAAAATTGGCCCCTCTCTGGGGGTCATACGTTTTCCCTATATGTCTATAGTAAATACTTAAAAACTCTTCTCTGAAAAGGCTAGAGGTTAGATATCCACCATGAAACACTGTATTGTTGACCTCTACCAATATTGTACAAATCATAGCCCTGGGTTCAAAGTTGGCTTCGCCCTGGAGGTCATTGATTTTCATTATGTTCATGTTGTAAAAACAGAAATTAAAAAAAAATGTTTTCTGAATACGAGAAAGTTAGAGATTAGATATTTGTCATGAAACATTGTCTGGTGGAGCTGTATCAAGATAGTTTAAATTAAAGCCTTGGGGTTAAAGTTTTGTCCTGCCCAAGGGACACAGTGACCTTCTTTCTTGTCCTTTGATATACAGCCATGAAATTTAGACCATGTGCATAGTTTGAGATATAAAATTGAATTTTGATATCAGCTGACCTAGATTTTGATGATGTGACTTACTTTCTTGTCTGTGATGTACAGCTATGAATTTTGGACCATGTGCACAGTTCTTGATATTGAATTGGACCTACTTACTTGTCTTTTGATGTACAACAATGAAATTTGGACCATTTGCACAGTATTAGATGTAAAATTGAACTTTGATATCAGCAGACCTAGATTTTGATGATGTGACCAACTTTCTTGTCCCTTGATGTACTGCCATGAAATTTGGACCATGTGAACAGTTAAAAACGTAAAATTGAATTTTAATATCAGCTCACCTAGATTTAGACAACTGACCTACTTTCTTGTCTTTTGATGTACAGCCATGAAATTTAGACCATGTAAACAGTTTGAGATGTAAAATTGAACTTTGATATCAGCTGACCTAGATTTTGACAAAGTGACCCTCTTTCTTGCCCTTTGATTTACAGATTTTCTCTGAAGGTACAAGACTAAGAGCTTTGATATTTGGTATAAAATATCATCTATAGGTCCTCTACTATAGTTGTTTAAATTTTGCCTCTTGTGTCAAAATTGGCCCCTCCCCTGGGGGTCAAAATCTTCTTCTCTGAATTGACAAAGGCTTAGAGGTTATATATTCGGCATGAAACATTGTAAAGTTGACATCTACCAAGATTATTCAAATCATAGCCCTGGGGTCAAAGTTGCTTTATCCTGGGGAGGGGGGTGTTATTGAATTTCATTATGTACATTTAGTTAAAACAGAAACTAAAAATATCAGCTGACCTAGATTTTGACAAATGACCTTCTTTCTTTTCCCTTGTCCGTCCTTCCTTCCGTCCGTCCTTCCTTCCTTCCGTCCGTCCGTTCACTTTTGTGTCTCACGTAACTCAAAAAGTATTTGACCTAGAGTCATTAAACTTTACAGGAATGTTGATCAGCATGTGTAGTTGTGCACCTGGGTATTTTTGTCTGGATATACAGTGAAAGTTGGGAAAACCGGATGGCTTTCGGACTGAGGGTTTTGTCCGGTTTTCTCAGCGGTCCGGTATTCTCAATGTCCCCTTCAGCTGTTCAGGATCTTATATTATAACTGAGCAATGACTTACAAAGGATGCTGTATATTTGCATTTTCAAGATCATGTGTACGTATATAGCTAAATAAAGGAATGATATAAATACAATAAAAGTTTGGATTTAAATGAACAGCAGTTACCTCATAACGATCAAGTTCGAGTACATCCGCATATGTTTATATTTCGGTAAGGGATAATGATTTAACGAACATAGTTTACTTTGTTTGTTTATAATAATAACATATTGGTCAGATTTTTAAAGTAGGTCTCGGCAAAGTTTTACTGTCTTTAATTAACTTTGTCACTTGTAGACATCTCTCATCGAATTCTTTTCGGCCATGATATAGAACTTAGCGCCGATAAATGTCGTTTTCGTTGCGTTGTCATTTTAGGGAATGAATATACAAAAAGCAACACAGTAGAAAAATTCTCAATTTTTTATTCATACTGATTTTAACTGATCAATTCCTTGTGCATTTTGACATTTACATAAAACTGCAACATCTATACCTTACAATAAATCAAACTGTGAAAGGAGACATTATAAACAAATAAGACAATCATTGTTCCGTTACCGCTCATTTAGCGTATTAGACACAACCAATTGATAAGTACACAAGGTTATTCACACATTCGGCGTCCGGTATTGTCAGGGTAATTGTCTATATAATTGACTTTGTAGTCCCCAATCAACCGTCCGATATTCGGTTTTTACAGATTCCGGTATTGTCAATGTTAAATACAAAAGTTTAAAGAAGGGAAAATTTGGGACTGAATTATTCGTCCGGTATTTAGAGAGTTCCATTTTCTCAGCGTCCGGTTTTCTCAAATTTCACTGTATTTAGTATTTTAAGAGTTATTGCCCTTGACTTTGTAAAATTTTGCAATTTTCAGCTTGTGTCGCATGTAACTCAAAAAGTATTTGACTAGAGTCATGAAACTTTACATGAATGTTGATCAGCATGTGTAGATGTGCACCTGGGTATTTTCGTCTGGATATTTTTAGTATTTTTAGAGTTATTGCCCTTGACTTAGTAAAATTTTGCAATTTTCAACTTGTGTCGCATGTAACTCAAAAAGTATTTGACCTAGAGTGATGAAACTTTACAGGAATGTTGATCAGCATGTGAAGTTGTGCATCTGGGTATTTTCTTCTGGATAGTTTTAGTATTTTTAGAGTAATTGCCCTTGACTTAGAAAATTTTTGCAATTTTCAACTTGTGTTGCATGTAACTCAAAAAGTATTTGACCTAGAGTCATGAAACTTTACAGGAATGTTGATCAGCATGTGTAGTTGTGCACCTGGGTATTTTCGTCTGGATTTATTTCGTATTTTTAGAGTTATTGCCCTTGACTTAGAAATTTTTTGCAATTTTCAACTTGTGTCGCATGTTACTCAAAAAGGATTTGACATAGAGTCATTAAACCTTACGGAAGGTTGCTCAGCATATGTAGGTTTGCACCTGGGGTTTCGCTTGTGGATTTATCCAGTATTTGTAGAGTTATTTCCCTTGATTTTTAAAACTGTTTCATTATGTTGTTATTTATGTTCCTCGAGTGCTTGAGTGAGAATCAACCAACTTTACAGGAATAATGATCAACATTACTAAATTACAGGAATAATGATTCACATCACTGTGAAGCTATGCACCTGGGACTTTGCATGTGGATTTTTTTCAGTTTTGTTAGAGTTTTTGCCCTTGACTTACAGTAGTATAAATTTGCAATTTTCAACTTGTCCATGCATAGCTCAAAAAGTATTTCACTTGTAGACCTGAAAGTTTACAAGAATATTGGTCAGCATGTGTACTTATGCACCTTGGGGTTTGCTTGTGGATTTATTTAGTATTTGTAAAGTTCTTGCCCTTTACTTGGTAAAAGATTTTTAGTTTTCAAAAAATATTTGACCTAGAGTCATTAGATTGGCAGAACAGTGGCGCGGTGGGAGCACCCATGTCCTACGGACACATTTCTAGTTTTCAACTTCATTACAAGCCATAACAAGGACTTGCCAACCTTTATTTTTCACAATTACAAAACGCCCTAACTCTGTCAAGTTATATAACTGTGTTTACATCTTTTTTACTATTTTCCGTCCTTAAGTCCTGAGTGAATGGGTAAATATTCTTTGAAATTTTGTTACTGACAAGAATCTGAGCCGGGGTCATTTGTGTTTAACAAACACATTCTAAGATGTTTATATATATTTTTTTTGAGGTTCAACAGTTTCTGAATATAATTTTTAAATGCAATTTAATAAGAAGATAAGTTTTTTTTATTCATAATCAGTTTTAATGATGAATAATTTGTAATAACCATTTTATACAGTTTTAATTAATTACTATCAGAAATGTAAAGGTGATAATGAGTGACTAGAATTTTGCTTCTCCGATCAAACAGGGCGAAGTGAAAATGTTTCGCCCGATTTCGCCCCTGTCCCTGTCTAGTGACCAACATCATGCACATTCCTGTAAAAAAACACTAACTTTCACTGCTTATACGCAAATAACTGTTACAGTCTATCCTCAGGTGAGCGCCCTTGTTAGAGAGATATTGAAATATTAGTAAGACGGAAGTTTTTCTGTCATATTGTGAAGGCTGCTTTAAACAGACCTGTCATCCATTTGGCATGTTTGAATGGTTTGATTAAGCATTTAAATTTATTTAACAAAATATTTTTCAAATGACATTAGTACTTGTCATCACATTATAATGTTTAAGAATGTTTTTGTATTTAATTTTATAACCAAATAATTCCGTGTAACTTCTTTGTAATGCAATGAATAGAAGAATCAATGGCAGGCGTGCTCGTGTGGAAATGTCAAGTGGTAAATCCCGCTGGGGTAGTCGTGGACCACCTCGCAGAGGAGGTGGTGGATTTAGAGGTGGTAGAGACAGCTATAGACCAAGAAGATCAAGGTAACTTCTTAATTTCTTTTTGAGTTATATTTTCCCATTAGCAAAATACCCAAAGCTTATACTTCATTTATAGAGAATAACATGCTACACTGTCTTTTGATATCAATTTTATCAGGCAAGGCTGATATGGACTAGAAAGGGGCGAGGCTTGCTGAGCCCTTTTTGATATGACTATGCGAGAACAGACAAAACAGGTAAAATCTTTGCTTAATACCTGCACTTACCTGTTGAATGGGGGCTTTAATAATAAAACTGACTTGTGCACTACTTAACGGTTAACCTGCTCAATTGAAATGGTAAACTCTAAATCATTTTCAGTTTGTCAAATTATTATGTGTTCAAGAATAAGACTGAAAAGTGCTCATTGATTGAGAGCTTTACCAAACTTGATCACAATAAATATTGGTGCTCAGTTTTGAATACTGAACTCCAGTGATCTTTGCATATGAAAATATAGTTATAACAGTGGAACAGGGTGATTAATAATAACTGATACACTTTTGAAATTTGATAGTGTTAATATCATCAAATGTAGGCATACAATTTTCACATAATCTAGAGGCTTTAAAGTTTTGTTTGATATATAACAAACCATACTTGAATGGGGAAAGCTGTTCAACTTTATCCAAAATAATATTTATAACAAATGTTTAATGTGACGTCTATTTTGTCAAGTCTTTTTATGCTCCCCGAAAAATTTCGGGGGAGCATATAGTCGCCGCCTTGTCCGTCCGTCCCCTTTTCTGTCCGGGACATAACTTTGAAACAACAAGAGGTATCAACATGAAACTTTGTAGGTAGATAGATCTCATTGAGTAGGTGTGCAGTGCACAAGAACCGTAACTCTGCCTTGCCTAATTTTTGAATTATTCCCCTTTGTTTATTTTTACACTTTGAACTTTGTCCGGGACATAACTCTAAAAGTATAAGAGGTATCAACATGAAACTTTGTAGGTAGATAGATCTCATTGAGTAGGTGTGCAGTGCACAAGAACCATGACTCTGCCTTGCCTAAATTTTGAATTATCTCCCTTTGTTTATTTTACACTTTGAACTTTGTCCGGGACATAACTCTAAAACTATAATAGGTATCAACATGGAATTGAGTAGGTGTGCAGTGAACAAGAACCGTAACTATGCCTTGCCTAATTTTTGAATTATCCCCCTTTGTTTATTTTTAATTGAGATTTTAGGCACAGGTCATGCACATGAACCATGTTACTGGGTCAGAGGTCAAGGTCACCTAAGATGATGCATTGTCAAGATGCATTGTCAAGATTTTGTCTTGTATATTGCGCACTAATCTTACCTATGTACACATCTTTCTTCTTGATCTGAAGCTTATAGGTTCAGGGTTGAATTAAGATGAGTTGGCTCGACATTCTGCCCATTGGCATGTCTTTTATTAACGCTATTTTATTAAAGTACAGTGGGGGACATCATTAAAAACAAACAGGATACGAATCTAAGCTTGGTAAGGACATTCTATACGACTTGTCATCAAAAGCACAGACAAGCATCTTAAACTATTTTACTTCAACATAATGAAAATGATGACAAAAGAGTAATTGAAAGTAAACTACACAAGTAGCTAATAACCACAGGAACTTGAAATTCTGTCAATATTAATGATAATATCCAAAATATACCCCCTATACAGTATAAATAAACACAAGGAATGAAACGCCTTTTCCCCACCCCAACATAATTTACGTTGAACAAATCAACAAAACAACGGATCAAAATAATCTATCAGCCATTTCGATAAGCAATTTATAAATGCATCAAATACCACCGATAACTTTTTTTAATTACGTAGCTATGTAGGAATAATTCAACATTTTCTGATTATTTCCCACGATCTGAGTTTGTTGCCGTCTCCATTTCGTGACGTCACTGGATGTTGATTCGAGGAGAATAATATTTATTAAAATTATTTTTAACAAGTTCCAAAAATAACAAGTTTGCAAGCAAAATATTGTCTAACTAGAACAAATGACTGATTTCTTTCTTACGACATGGCTGAATTTATTTGCTGGGCCATATCAAATAGAGTACTCAAATTTTTAAAACGAACGTACTGTTTCAAAGATTTACCGTTCTTGTTTGGGGTTTCCCTTTCAAATGTATTTATAAAAGTAATTTGTTAAAAAGGTTTTACATGAAGATGTTTAAATCCATTTACATAGAATAATTTGTATAAAAGTTTTATACATACCTGTTATTTTTTGGAACTTACTAAAAATAATTTTAATAAATATTATTCTCCTCGAATCAAAATCCAGTGACGTCACGGAATGGAGTCGGCGACAAACTCAGATCGCGGGAAATAATCAGATAATGTTGAATTATTCCTACACAGCTACGCGATTTTAAAAAGTTATCGGTGGTATTTGATGCATTTATGTATTGTTTATCGAAATGGCCAGATAGAATATTTTGATCCGTTGTTTTGTTGATTTGTTCGGCGTAAATTATGTTGGGGTGGGGAAAAGGCGTTTCATTCCTTGTGTTTATTTATGGTATATAGGGGGTATATTTGGATATTATCATTAATATTGGTTATTTGATAGAATTTCAAGTTCCTGTGCTAATAACAATTGATGCTTATATTCACATACATGTATTCTGTATCTGAAATAATTTAAAAATAAAGAAAAGGAGGAAAGAGGTTGGCTTATATAGGGAAGAGGAGGCCAGCATATAAAAAATATGTTTAATGCTCTTAAGATTGTGAAAACTTGACGCTGTTATTAGTCAGGGAAAAATGGTCTTGGTCTGGGAAAAGTCATGGAAAAGTCAGGGAATTTTGATTTCTCTTCTTTGTGGGAACCCTGTGAAGGGGACATTAAGAAAACCAGACCGCTGAGAAAATCTGACACAACCCTAGGTCTGAAAGCCATCCAGATTTCTCAACTTTCACTGTAGTAAAACTTCAAAATCTTCTTTTATGAAAGCATTGAACAATGTCTAGTTCTAGGGTTAAAATTGGTCCAGGAGAAGAGGTTGTGGGATTGGAGTTTTCCCTTTATATATATATAGTAAACAATTATAAAAAAAAATCTTAAACACAAACGGTCTATTGTTCTATCATTTGGTGTAGTATATGACCCTTATTGATTTTGAGGTCATTCACTAAGAGGTCAATATCACAGTGGTCTTGATTGCTATAACCTTGTCTAATTCATACCTCAGGTGATATCTTTGGAGCCTATTAACACCCTATTATATACTTTTATATATTTTACTTACATATATTTCTGTCTACATGTACTTTGATGAGAGATATAGGTCTACATGGGCCTTTTGGTTGTTATCAACAAGTTGATAAAACATACACTGTAATTTTTAAAAAAGATCATGATATATAAAAATGGTAAAGGAACACTTGTCTTTTTATTGACTATTTTGTTAGAAGAATGTGTTGTTGTGAATGTTTAATGATTTATTCTGTATGCCAGGTTCAGTCATACAGATCACCTCAAGTCTCAGCTAGCAACAAATACCATTTGATTCAACCCATCAAATAATCAACGCACAGTCATTCAACTTTATTGTATTTCCTGAAAAGGTCGACAAATCTGAGCTTAGCAATGTACCTTGTCATCTTAACAACGATTATACCTTTTTGATCAACGTTGCCATCACTCCATTTTCAGCTTTTCAGCTATAGAAATTCAGCAATAGCCAACTTTAAAACAACATTTAAAACATGGTAAATTATAGTGGTAAATAGTGTGAATTTATTTTTTGCTCGACTTTTTTTTGAAAAAAAAATATAGAGAAAAAATGTGTTGTTACAGTCATGTGGGTGTTGCCGTTTGCAAACTAATTTACAGTTCCTTGATAATAACTTTTTAAGTTCTTGATGTATTGTCTTCATACTTGGCCACAACAACTGACAGATCTTGATCTTCACTTGTAAATGACCTTGACATTGAAAGTCATTTTTTTGCTGTAACTGGCTTTAACTTTATTATTATTGAATGGATTCATGACCTTGACCTTGAAGTTAAAATTATTGAATTTTAACTGATTTTTGCTATAATTGACTGTAACTTGGTAACTTATTTATGGATTATCTTCATGCTTTGACAAAACAACATTTTGGACAAGACCTAAAAGGTTGAATTGACCTTGAGCTTTAAATGACCTTGGCCGTCAAGGAGAAATTATTGAATTTTGGTTAAATTGTCATAATTTTGTTATTTATGTACAAATTTGATTTAAACTTGGATAAAACAAGACTTGCTACCAAACAAGCATATTGAATGATTTAGATGTGACCTTTACCTTAAATTGATCTTGACTGTTAAGGATTATCACTATAATTGGCTGTAACTTTGCGATTAGTCAAAATTAAAAAAAAATAAAAATTGATTATTTTCATACTTTTGGACAAGGCATTTCTCAAAGATTGAACTGACCTTGAGGTTGAGTTTTAAACGACTTTGATCTTCCAAGTTTTGAATTTTGGTTAAGTTGTCATAATTTTGTTATTTATGTACGGATTTGATTCATATGGGACAAAACAATACTTTTGACCAAACAGACATGTGGAATAATTTAGAAATGAACTTGACCTTTAAATGACCTTGACCGTCAAATGATTGAATTTTGATTATATTTACTTAACTTTGTTATTTATTTATGGTAAGGATTCATACAAAACAACAAGTGTGACTAGACAGACCTATGAAAAAAACTTTTATGCCCCCGGGCATATTAGTAATTGAACCGTCCGTCTGTCCGTACAAGGTTTAAACCTAAAACGGCAAGTTTTTCTTAAGAACCACCTATACCAAAGGCTTCATACATAACAAATTTACTTATCATCTTAATGTACATGATATGGGCAAGTTACATAACTATGCCTTCCATTTTTACCAAGTTATTGCACTCTTCAGCATTTAGAAAATGAATAATTGGTCAAATGGATATATCTGAAGTTCTCACTGTAGCTTCATAATTACCACACTTACTAATATCAATGCAAAGTA